GCTACAGAGACCAGCTTGCTGTAGGTCTCCAGCATCACATCTTTGTACAGGGTCCTCTGTGGAGGGTTCAGGTACTGCCACTCCTCTGGGGTTCCGCCATTCCCTCCTCTTGTTGGGAAAAACAAGGGATGTGTGAAGACTGAGCTCACTGGGGCCATCTTGCCCCAGGAGTCAGAAAGAAGCCCTCAGGTGCAGATTCACTTCAACTGGAGCATTCAAAACAGGCCCCTACTTGGGGGCTCAGAAAAGGGGATATGGGCAGGAGAGGTGGGAGTGCCTAGGCAGGAGCTTGAGGATGCGTATAAACCCTTAGCACAGGTCAGATGTGTATAAACCTTTAGCTCTTTTTCGACGACAGATTTTTCTGTTCAATGCAGAGGAGACAGTTACGAGAACTGCTGTTTGTCTTGGTAATTTTCTTATTGAAATCTTCCTCAATATTTGGTGTTCCTTGACCATTCATTTTTTTTCGGTCTATGCTATTGATACATAATTTATATACAATAAAATGCATAGATTTTAAGAATTCAGTAAGTGAACAGTTGTTCAACACTTTTGTAGCCACCACCCCAATCAAATATATAAAAATTTCCACACCTCAGAACAGTTCCCTCCTATCTCTTTGCAGGTGTCTGTTTCCTACAACTCCAGTCACATACTGCCCACTTCACTACCTGTCAACCGCTGTCTTTGATGCCATAACTGGTTTTGCCTCTTTGCAACTTTTATATATAATGTAGTCATATGGTATATCCTCTTCTGTGTCTGGCTTATTTTGCTCAGTGTAGTTTTTGAGATTCATTTATGTTGATGCATGGATCAGTGGTTTCTTCATGTTTATTGTAGAATACTATTTCATTGTATGAATATGCCGCATTTACTTCATCACCTGTTCCTTTATCAAGGGGTTGTTGTTTCTAGGGTTTTTTTTTTTTCTATTGTTAAAAACTCCTGTGTATATTTCTTTGCAGTATTTTCTTGTGTAATTAACAAGGTGTGGAATTAATTGGGTCATAAGGTTAAGTATATGCTTAATTTTATAATGACTATCAAACTGACTTTTTATTTTAAATAGTTTATGCATTAAAAGATAGATTGGAAGACTTAAATGTTTGAGTATATCCCTTGTTGACTTGTGGATTTTCCTTTTGGGGACTGAGCCATTTTTAAAAGGGGAATGGAGGAATCCCCCTCACCCCATGTCAGTAACAGTAGTTCTTTGTTCTAGGATCATTTACTTTCTTCAGAGAAGAATACTCATTGATTCTGTCCAGGTGATACATATGTCAGAATAGGGGGAGGGAGGGCAGCGAGATGCAGATGCTCACTTAATCTTCACCTTTTTTCATACCTCATTGTCCTTCCTGTAGCTGTCAGCTAAACCTGGTGTGGTCGAGCATGGAGCCTTTGTGTCTCAGTGTTTCAGAGAATGTGTCTTTGGTTTCTTGATATATATCTACATCTAAAAGTGGTGTGTGGTGGCTAGATGGTAGATTGGTGCCTGACTCTGTTGTGCTTTAAGGGACCTGAGATTAGTCTAAGCATTTCTCTTGTAACTTTCAACCAATTTCTCTTCCATCCCAGTTTTTACCACCACCTCCACCCCCCCTTTTTTTTGTGGAAATTGGTACAGTGAATTCCTGAGCCTTTTTTGGGTGCTCAGACAGGGTAAGTTAGTTCACTTTCTTGTTCATATTTCTCAACTGGTTTCGATTGCTTAGGTTTCGATTTTCATGGGTCTGCTTAAGTCAGTCACCACTCCTCCAGACACTAATGTTCCCCAGAAAAAAATTGACTGTCTCATAGTTCCTCAGTTCTTTTTTCTCCTATTTTCTTTGTCTTTGTGAGTTTGTGTCCTTTTTCATTCTTGCTGGAATTTTAGTGAAGCCTGTAGAAAGGAGGTAAAGAAAAATCCCACGTGTGTTGAACTTTCTAATTTTTCCAGAAATTGCCTTTTTGTTCTAAAATAAGTGCATTAGTATTATGTTTTCCTACCTTAAATTTTCTAGACTTGATTCTCTTTTGTTTTCCATCCTGCCTAAATTTTTATTTTTAAAGTTTTCAAGGTTTCACTTGTATAGTGAACACTTTTAGGTATTCCTTGTCTACAGGTGAACTAATTGTCAGACTTTATTTTTTAATAAAAATACTGTTTATTTTCAGTAAATATGGACCTCTGGCAGTATTTTAGTGTCTGATAGTCTATTTTGTGCCTATACAATAACTTATTCAGTCTGTCTGTTTGCTTTTGTCGTTGTTTGGTCACTCAGTCGTGTCGGACTCTTTTGGTATCATAGACTGTAACCCGCCAAGTTTCCCTGTCCATGAGATTTCCCAGGCAAGAATACTGGAATGGGTTGCCATTTCCTTCTCCAGGGGATCTTCCTAACCCAGGGATTGAACCTGCGTCTCTTGCTTTGGCAGGCGGATTCTTTACTACTGAGCCACCAGGGAATCCCTGTTTGCTTTTACAAATGCTTTAAAAAATTTATGTGTGTGTCTTCTCATGTTATAAATTAATAGATTCATTAGTCATCAGTCATCATTGCTTTTTTTTAAATCATTTTTTAGCATATTTCCAAGCATTCCTTCAAATATCTGTAACCAACAGTGTATAGCTTATCATTTTATATCACAGTGATTGATTTTTCTTGTCTCCTCCTCTGTACTAGGAGCATCCTAATTTGTTAGTAAAGCCATTAATGAAAAGTAGGCATACTGAAGAAATAGATATTCCAGTAGCTGAAGTAACTTCTTCTCCATAACTGTAATTTATAAAATTACCTTTGTTTTGTTTTTTCACTTTTGCATTCTAAAAAGGGGGGAAAATCAGTAAATTGGGGATGTTAATATTATGAATTCATTTTTTTATTGAATTAAGCATCTAGTAGTTATACTTTTCTGTAGCTGCTTATTTGAGTATTAGTTCTTACTGTTTTATCATTGCCCTACAGGTTGTAGAATTTGTGAACTTTCCCTCCCTACCACAGAGTTTTCTTGAATGATAATCTGTGGGCCAGGCACTCTTCAGTCTTTATCTTGCTGGCCCTTTCTGCCTTACTTGAGACTGTAGACCAGCCCCTTCTTCTTGTCCTTTGGAAACTGTGCTTTTGTTTTTCCTAAGTATTCCTTGTCAATCTTATTTGAATATTTTTTTCTTTCTCAGCAGGTACTGTAAACATTGCTTTCTTCCAGTTTTGTCTCTATCTCATTTATGCTCTTTATTCATGACTTTAATTGCCGCCTACATGCTTATGACTTTCATCAAACCTTTCCTAAACTTTACACTCATAATTGTAAAAACTCATTGGGGCTCCTGAAGGTTCCTCATTTTCAGTATGTCCATATCATTTCAGTTCAGTTCAGTTGCTCAGTCGTGTCCAACTCTTTGCGACCCCATGGACTGCAGCACGCCAGACCTCCCTGTCCATCACCAACTCCCGGAGTTTACCCAAACTCATGTCCTTTGAGTTGGTGATGCCATCCAACCATCTCATCCTCTTTCGTCCCCTTCTCCTCCTGCCCTTAGTCTTTCCCAGCATCAGGGTCTTTTCAAATGAGTCAGTTCTCTGCATCAGGTGGCCAAAGTATTGGAGTTTCAGCTTCAACTTTAGTCCTTCCAGTGAACACCCAGGACTGATCTCCTTTAGGATGGACTGATTGGATCTCCTTGCAGTCCAAGGGACTCTCAAGAGTCTTCTCCAACACCACAGTTCAAAAGCATCAATTCTTTGGTGCTCAGCTTTCTTTACAGTCCTACTCTCACGTCCATACATGACTAATCATTTAATTTATTATTTATTATTTTTCCTTCCTCACTTTTTTTTCTTACATTCCCTTTCTACATGCTAAGACCATCCTTCCAAGTTTCTCAGGGTAGAATCCTGAATGTTATTCTACATTGGTTCTACACAGTTAAGTTTCAAATTCTGTTGACTTTTCCTTCTAAATAGTTCCTGAATAGCTCCTCCTTTTTCTTCTCATAATAGCAGTCCACCTTTTGCTTCCACATTTTGCTTACCACAGAACTGGTAAACTACCTGAATTTTATCTGACTGTGTTCTGTTTCCTATCTGCCTAGAGTTCATACCTGAATTGTGTCTGACTGAATCCCTTCCTTATTGTGTTAGAATTTCTATGACTTGGTCAGTGACTGCCTTAGGTTTATCTTTCACTACTCCCAGCTTTGTTCATTTTGTTCTGGTAACATGCAGTTCTCTGTAGCTCTATACATCATCCTCTGTATACTTTGAAACAAACTATTATCTCTGCCTGGCATGCCCTTGTCTATTTTGCTTGGGTTAGCCTTTAAAATTTTATGTAATCATCTTCTCCATCCAGAAGTCTTATCTTTCTTCTCTAGCATGGGCTAAAGGTACCATTTGTGATACCTTCACTGACCACGTAGTACTAAAGAATATTTTTCTCTCCTTGTAGTCAGAGATTGTTCTATTCAATGAAAGGCTTCAATGCCTAAAATAAAGTAATGGCTCAGTAATTTTTTTGTTAGTGGGTGTCTAAAAATTATAGTGTATTAGCATCATCTATTTATAGGTTCCTTTCTTTGTTGAGGATGACACAGTTTAAGCTAAACTTGGGAGCATGGATAAATACGTACTCAAAAGAGTACAAATAATATAATTTTTATTCCAGAGGAAATGAGTACATTGCTGCTGAAAAGGTGTTAATGCCAGAGCCTAATGCCATTTAGCTTACCTGCTAACTGTTACCTCTTCTTTACCACTGCCTAAAATTTGTATGCATAACTTAATGTTCTGCCATTTGAAGACAGTGGGTCAAGAATTTTCGTATTTATTTTTAAGATTAAATTTGAAAATATTAGAATTATGAAAAATATCTTTGGGTTTATTTTACTTATCTGGGAAGAGAAGTAATGTTTGCTAGTTTTTGTTAGGAACTGGATTGAAAAAAAAGTAAAGATTTTGAGAGACGTCTCTTCTCCTCAGGTTTCTCACCTGTCTTCTGTTTCTGAATTGCAGTTACAGATGTAGAACTGAAACGACTGAAAGATGCCTTCAAGAGGACTTGTGGACTCTCGTATTACATGGGCCAGCACTGCTTCATCAGGGAAGTGCTTGGGGATGGAGTGCCTCCAAAAGTTGCCGAGGTAATCTTCATGCTCTAAGTTTTCCTGTGAGATAGTTAGCCACCAGTCTGAATTCTTGAGGGTTCTCCTGGTCTTGACCGATTTAATCTTCCCTACAGTTATTTTTCTTGCTGAGTAGGTAAATAGGTCTTGCTTTAGGTGTCAGTAGGGCTGTGTTCTTAGAGGCCACATGGGGAAACTGCAGGAGTGCAGCTCTGCTTCTGTGTACTTCTGATCTTTAAGAGCTGCAGATCATAATCATGGGACCATTTATATGATTGGCTTCTTATTCTTATGAACTTTGTCACTCTGACATGTCCTTTTTATGTTGGGAGTATTTTTTATAAACTTAGAGTTTTAAACCTTTCCATATAGTAAAACCTAATTAAATTAATTCTATAAAATTTAGTGTTGTATATGAAACACTAGCTTATTGGAAGTTGTAAAGTCTTGTTTAGATTCCATGAAAAATTTTTAGGTAGAGATACAGTGAGCTAAGTTGGTATAAATATCCCCTTTCTAACAGTAAATTCACTGCCTTATAAAGTGAATAAAGTATATGTAGTTAGGTATATATACAGTTATGTAATATGTCATTTGAAAGGAGAACTGAGAATACAATTAATGAAACAGTGAAATTGTAATAAGAATTTTAAGCTTAGTGTATTTCATAAACCTTAATTCACTATTCCTAATTAGTGACAGTTGCAATTTCTAACCTATGCTATGTGCTTTTGAGTTTATGGTTTATACTATAGAAAGTATATTTATTGCTTTTTTATGTGTGTTTTACTTTTTTTCTTGGTGGAGATATATGTTGTGTTAATTTTATCATGTATTCTTGTGTAGAATTATTATGTACTTTCTTGCTGTCTTTAGTTTGGATTTATGACAATTAATTTTTTCCTAATTATACTATTTATTGGGACTTTTTTTCAGTATGAATTCATCCTCCTGTTTTGCCTTAAATGCTAGTATAATATAAAAATCTGGAATTTAGAATTTTTCATTTTAGGATATAACTAGCAATTTAACGAGTTAATAAAAGTTGCCAATTAGAGGAAGGGATTTAAACTGAATCCATAGTAATTAAAACAACATTCTTCCAAAGTCAAATATATACTAACTTAAGCCTTTCTTTTTCTTCAGTTTCTTCCTTAAAGTCGAAATTGTCAGACTGTAAATTTGTGGTGCTGAGAAAACTTAGGTTAGAATATCTGATTTATTTCTTTGGATCATGTATAAAGATTTACATGTGTCCATCTACATACCTATAAATAGATGTCCATTCAGGTCCTTGTCCAGTTTTTAATTGGGTTGTTTGTCTTTTTAATACTTGAGTTGTAAGAGTTCTTTAAGTGTTCTAGATCCCAGTCCCTTATAAGATATGTGGTTTGCAAAAATATTCACCCACTCCATAATTCACTCTCTTGATGGGCTTACCCATTCTTCCTTTCATCCCTTGTTTCATCTGGGAAACTAAGGTCACAAAGATTTACTCTTATGTTTCCCTGTGAGAATTTTAGCTTTTACTTTTAGGTCTCATCTGTTTTGTGCTAATTTTTGTGTATGGTGCGACGAGTCCAACTTCATTCTTTTGCAAATAGCTTTTTAGTTGTCCTGTTACCAAGTCCAAGCTCCTGTTGCTCATTGCATGACAGGTCAGTAAACCAAGAGATGTGTTGTTGGTGCAAGAAATAGTGACTTTTTCGAGAAGCCAGCAGATCAGGAAGATGGTCAGCTAGTGTCCCAGAGAACCGTCTTAACCTGAATTAGAAGTTAGTCTTTTATACTGAAAGCGGGGAGAGTGTGTGGCAGGTTGTTGCAAACTTTTTGGTACCTTTGTGCTTATAGCTGTCCAGGCAGGTCGAATCACAGTGTTCCTAGACCTTCTATGAGATGACTGTTATTCTCCATTGTACAGCTTTTTATCTCTATGTGAGTGAGCCTTGAGAATGGGCTCTCCTGTGTGTTTCAGGCTATAGCAGCCTTCTTTTACAAAAGGTGCAGAGCCTGCATGGCTCAGCAGAGGCAGCAGAGCACACGGGTTAAAGGAGTGGATTCAGCATGGAGTCAAGTTTCTTCTTGTCAGTTACAGTCCCGTCACTGTTGGGAAGATTATTCTTTCCCACTGAACTGTCTTACCACTGTTGTTGAAAATCAGTTGACCATAAGCATACGGTTTTATTTCTGAACTCTCAATTCTATTCCATTGATTTCTGTCTGTCCTTGCATCAATATTGCATTATCTCGATTATGCTGGCTTTGTAGCAAGTTTTTAAATCAGAAAGTGTCATCTCCTCAGCTTTATTCTTTTTCAAGTTGTGTCTTTTCTGGGTCCCTTGCATTTACATATGAATTTTAGTATCAGCTTTTCAATTTCTGCAAAAGAGGCAGCTGAGATTTTGATAAGGGTTGTATTGAATCAGAGTACTGCCATTTTAACAATATATTAAATCTTCTGATTCATGAAATTAGAATGCCTTTTCATTGCTTTAGATTTTTAATTTCTTTCAGTGATGTTTTATAGTTTTCAGTGTACAAGTCAAATGTCCATCAATAGAACAAAATGTGGTGTATCTGTAGAAAGGAATATTGTTAATAAAAAAGGAGTGAAGTTTTCTGTTACATTCATGGATAAACTTTTAAAACATTCTAAGTCAAAGAAGCCAAGCACAAAGACCACATAATTTTTTGTTCCATTTGCATAAAAATGGCCAGGATATTAAAACATTCTAAGTCAAAGAAGCCAGACACAAAAGACCACATATTTTTTTGTTCCACTTGGATGAAATGGCCAGGATAGCCAACTCTATAGAAACAGGAAATAGATTAATGGCACTTTCATTAAAATTTTAGCCAACTTTTTTTTCTTACTTGCTTGCACAGTAGTTGCCTCTTCCCCCTGTTGTTTTGGAGGAATCTATCCTTCTTGAAATGTCAAATACAGGTTTTCCTGTTATTTCAGCTCTCTGATATGCTCAAGAAATATAAGATGATAGTTAAACGTTTTTTTCTTGCTTTTTGGTTAGGAGTGATACTCAGGCTTTCTGCAGCTAAGGTGGAAATGGAACTCTCTGGAGTATCATTTATATGTGAATATTTTGTAAATTTCATTTTACTGAAAACTGTTTCAAGAGTCTCTGTCCTTTGGACTATGTGTTAAGAATTATCACTGGCTAGATTAACTAAAGTAATTGTTTTACAAGAATGATCTTAATTTTAAATTGTAAAATCTACAATGATAGTTTCAAAATTTCAATTTCTTTGCAGCTAACACGTTTTTGTGTGTAAACTCTAGCATAGTATTAAACACAAAAAGAATTTTATAAATGTTTTTAGTGATGATGGTGTGAGCTTCATTTATCCTATTTACTGACCTAGGCTTATTTTAAGTGAGGAGTACTTTAGCATGTGAGTATTGATTAGTATATATAACATAGTGTAAGTTTTAAAGTACTATAAGGAATTAAGTACTTCTGTCTTTGATCTCTGGTATTTTCTCATGGAATGGGTGCCTGTATAGTGTCTCATACAATAACCTCAAAGAACGAGTGACACCATTGAGCTCAGTTCTGGAACAGTTTCAGCATTTGTATAAAATGAGCCTTTTGCTTATTTCAGGCATCTCTCCAAGGCAGGCAGGTTAATAGATAAATTTCATCAACTTTTGTGTGTATTTGGGAAAAGGAATGAATTTATGAGTATGTTTCATCCTTGCAGAGTACATAGTTATTTGCTAAAGAAGAAATAGTACATTTGAAGTAGACAGACTCATAGAATGGAGGATCTGTATTCTCTAGTTGCAGGGAAATCAAGGGAAATGAGGGAATTTCTAAACAAAGTGATTAGCTGCAAAGCTAAGGAAATAATCATTCCACTTTATATAGTCATTGTGAGATCTTTCTTAAAATCCTCTGGAGAGTTTGGGCCTTAAATCTGGGTGAAGAGGGTCACCTACTCCTGGTGAGAGTATGAAAATAATGTTTTGAGGCAATAGTTGTGTTTTAACACCAGTATCTCTATATAAGAAAAGCCACAAGCCAGAAAGATAAAGACCAATACAGTATACTAACGCATATATATGGAATTTAAAAAGATGGTAACGATAACCCTATATGCAAAACAGAAAAAGAGACACAGATGTAGAGAACAGACTTTGGGACTCTGTGGGAGAAGCGAGGGTGGGATGTTCTGAGAGAACAGCATTGAAACAAGTATACTACCAAGGGTGAAACAGATAACCAGCCCAGGTTGGATGCCTGAGACAAGTGCTCAGGGCTGGCGCACTGGGAAGACCCAGAGGGATGGGATGGGGAGGGAGGCGGGAGTGGGGTTCAGGATGGGGAACACATGTAAATCCACGGCTGATTCATGTCAATGTATGGCAAAAACCACTACAATATTGTAAAGTAATTAGCCTCCAGCTAATAAAAATAAATGAAAAGACAAACAATAAAATAAATAAAAGAAAGAAAAGCCACAGAACCCCTATAAGCTGCCAATTGTGGATGGAGAAAGAACTTTATTCCCTAGTTAATTAGAGTTTTTCTTTACAGTAGTAGTAATAACATAATATCAAGAGCAAGGAAAGGTAGTTTTGGCATCTTTGTGCAGAAGGATGCTGAAACCACAGTCTTCTTTGAACATTGAATCTTTTTCAAATTAGAGGAAAATGCACTTTTTTTTTTCATTTATTTTTATTAGTTGGAGGCTAATTACTTTACATCGTTGTAGTGGTTTTTGTCATACATTGAAATGAATTAGCCATGGATTTACATGTATTCCCCATCCCGGTCCCCCCTCCCACCTCCCTCTCCACCCGATCCCTCTGGGTCTTCCCAGTGCACCAGGCCCGAGCACTTGTCTCATGCACCCAACCTGGGCTGGTGATCTGTTTCACCCTAGATAATATACGTGTTTCGATGCTGTTCTCTTGAAACATCCCACCCTCGCCTTCTCCCACAGAGTCCACAAGTCTGTTCTATACATCTGAGTCTCTTTTTCCGTTTTGCATATAG